ATGTAATACATAGCAGATATATGTATTGCATATATAGAATTATGAATGTATTAATCACGTAGTTAATAGATACATATTGTATATATTTAACCAAATATCACGTACGCGTACTATAGTACCCATCAGGTATACTTATCAGTCAGAAATAATAATGGAATCAATATCGAATCGATATCGATTCGACATCGATTTCATTGTTATTTTTGACTGGGTAATTGCTCGACTAACCTCAAATAATCGCATAAGCAGCAATAAATTAAGTTTGGTTGGTCATGTTATTATAGTCGCTTACATTTGTGTTAATACTTACATATAGAACTATATATAAATTAAAACGATAAATAAGAATATATACAATCAAAGGTAATTTTTATTTTTTAATTGATTTGGATTTTAAGTGTTACGTATAATATAATGTAGATTATTATAGGTTGATTCGTCCATTTTTCCTCAGAAATTTTTTTTAGTGCCTACAAAGCCTATTCTGAATTTAAAAGAGGAATACTTATATGCGATTACTGTTAAATTCCTGAATTGCTTACTCTTATCCGACATCATCGCATACTCTTAGACGCCCTATCGGGTAAGAGTACGTACATTTTTGTTAATCAAAGGTAATTTTTATTTTTTAATAGATTTGGATATTAAGTGTTACGTAAATAATAGATTATTATAGGTTGCATTGTATAAATAAATAAGATAACATGAATAAAGGTAATAATAAGTCTCAAATTTCAACGAGACATAAAAGAAGATTAGCTCAAACAGAGACAGAAAAAGATTTGATGTTTATGAAACGATTACACAGTGGTGCTTCTGATTTTGAATCATCAATCAAAAAATCTATTAACGAATTTGTCAGCATTAAGAATGAGAATCAAACTGAGCAATCAATTTCAACACCATCAAAAATTAGTAATAACAATAATCAAGAATTTTTATCAGATCAAATAGATGATAATTCGCTAGAAATGATTACAGACAACGAAGATTTTGTTGATTTTGAAGGTGAAGAAGGATTGCAAAGCTTTTCATATGATTCTGATAATACGAGTAGCAATGCAGACGATGTAGATGCAGATGATAGAGACGATAAGGATATTGATGACGGTGAAGATAAGAATAACCGATTATTACATGATATTCGTAATTGGTCTTTTGAGTTTAAAATTAAACATAATGCAATTGATGCCTTAATGAAAATTTTGAGGCATGCTTCAAATGCACAATTGAAAACCCTGCCAAAGGATGTAAGAACGCTTTTAAAAACGCCTAAAAAAACTACTAACATAATTGCATTATCTGGAGGATCTTATTACCATTTTGGTCTCTCTAACATCTTGGAGTCACTCTTGTTGGACTATAAAAATATATCTGTAAAAGTATCTGAAATTTATTTATTATTTAACATAGATGGCCTGCCATTATCTAAATCGTCAGCAAGTAGCTGTTTTTGGCCAATTCTAGTTTCAGATGATATTTTAAATCAAGTTCATATCGTTGGGTTGTTTTATGGTAAAAAGAAACCAAATAAATCTAATGAATTTTTACAGCAATTTGTAGAAGAATTAATACCGTTAATACAGAAAGGATTTCATTCAAACTTGTTAGATTGTGATATTAAAGTAAATGTCAAGGCCATTATTTGCGATGCTCCAGCGAAAGCTTTTATTTTAAACGTTAAAGGACATAATGGCTATTCAAGTTGTACTAAATGTACCATTTACGGAGACTATATTAATAATAAAATCTGCTTTCCTTATGAAAAGAGATCAAGTGCACTCAGGTCTGACGAAGATTTTGTACGTCAAACAGATTTTGATTATCATCAAGGAGATCCCACAATTTTGCTCTCTGTGCCTAATTTAGGATTAGTCTCGAATATTACTCTTGACTATATGCATTTGATTTGTTTGGGCATTGTAAAAAAAATGATATTATTATGGATGAATGGACCGCTAGCTATTCGCATTAATAATCAAGCTAAAGAAAATATTTCACAAGCACTTCTTAATTTAAGAAGTACAGTACTGAAAGAATTTTCAAGGCGACCGCGAAGTTTAAACGAATTAGCGTATTGGAAAGCCACAGAATTTAGACAATTTTTACTATACAGTGGACCTTTTGTTTTAAAAAATGTTTTAAAAAGAGATCTATATATAAACTTTTTGACTTTGCACGTAAGTATATCAATACTTATCAGTCCAATACTAACAGCAAATAAAAACAATGTAGATTACGCAGAAAAACTGTTGCAACATTTCGTTCAATCATTTGAGAAAATTTATGGCAAGGAAAATGTATCCCACAATGTTCATAATTTATTACATCTGTCAAATGAAGTTCGAAAATTTGGGCCGCTGGATTCCTTTAGCGCATTTCGGTTCGAAAACTTTTTACAAACGTTAAAAAATTTTCTGCATAAAGCAGAAAAACCACTGCAACAAATTGTACGACGATACACAGAAAGAAGACTAAATAAGTATGAGAGCATGAGCAATAAATTATTACATTCAAGTAATACATTTCAATTGAAAACAAAACATAATGCTGGTTTATTGATCGATGAATTTCAAGATATTGTTGAATCACAATATAGAAAATTAATATTATTAGGTAATTATGAAATTGATTGCAAAAGTGAGGCAAATAATTGCATTATAACAAAAGATGGAAACTTAATGACTGTTAAGAACATCGTTAAATATACCAATAATAATACAATTTATATTATTGGTTATAAAATCAAGAAAATAGGTGATTTGTATTTACAACCATTCTCATCAGAGAATTTGGACATTTATGCAGTCGAGGAAATAAATAATAAAGTAATATCTTATCCTTTGAATGAAATACAGGGAAAGATATGGAAAATTAAATTTGATTCAAAATTGTATGTCATTCCTCTTCGACACGTTCCTAGACAGTAAAACTTTCAAAGCATATAATCAACAATATATACATTATATTGTATGATTATCATAATAATGTTATAATTCCAAATGTAAACAATAATAATTCAAAGATTAATCTTTAATTTTATTTGCAATAAAATTGTCTAAAAAATAAAAAAAATAGTAAAATCTCTTAAAATTGTTTAATCAAATCGTTCTACAGTATATATTATGTTATAATAAGTAAATAAGAACACGTCAATGGGCGCGTTCAGCGGATTTAACAGATTTGTGAACGCTCGTTATTATTGGTGTGTTCTTTTAGATCATCCCATCAGAATTTTAGATCTAAAAGAATACATCAGCAGCAGCGAACGCTCAATGAACTCAACTGTTCCATTAAACGCAGTCAATATATTTTGATAACACTTGAATCCCACATTACCAAGCGTGTATGAACCTGCAATGTTGCAAACTTGCGTCAGCAATAGTAGCGCAGCTTGTCCAAAACGAACGAGTTTTGCTGTATGAATCAAATTGTGATTAAGAAAAAGAATAATCTATAAAATAAACTATTCGGAGGGTAAAGGTAAACACAAAACTAAATATTATAAATCGTTAAATATTTACTTTAATGTTTTGCCACGTATTTGTATTATATGTACCTCATATAACAGAAATGTCGAAATTATATCACAGGGACAATGTAAAGATGACACAATAACATCTAGAATGTATATACGATATATTTCAGGATATTTCTGCTATGTGGGACACGAGATTGCATTTTATTTTTTAGAATTAAAATATTTTAATTTATAATATAATAAACTGTGTGAAGCAGAGATTTTAATAGGTTATGTGCTTTTTGTTTTGTGTACTTTTGTTTTACATCGTATAGTATGGAATATTTTTGTATATTAGATTTTTCATAACTGAAACAGTTTTATTACCATCAATACGATAAAGAAGATTAATTATATAATTAATAATTAAATATGGAGAAGATGAGCAACTCTAATTCATTTAAGGTAAATTTAAAAATACACATTATGACTGCACGCGTAATATTTATTATTGATAAATTAAATTATCATTAATGCATTTTATTTGCAGCTTACACACAACTTCTACATCATTGAATTCGATGATGGGATAGCACTAGTACCGAATAATTGGTTGCGGCTATCACTATCAGAAGATTTTTACGTTTGCTTTTATCCGAATTATGATTCAAAAAAGAAACTTAATAAGGCTATACAGACCAGAGAAGAACCTGATTTGAAAAATGTACAAGCTGGATGGGCGATGTATGATATTTTACATATTATTGCTTCAGCAGGTATATGTACAGTTATAGATTTTAATTCTTTTTTGACAGCAGCCTGTTGGCATATATTTCACACTTTTATTAATTGTATTCTTATAATAAGGTTGAAAGAAATCAATGCAGTATGCCCATTGCGTTTAGCAACGAAAGAGCATATGCAACTAAAAATAAATTGTAAGTAGATCTCCATGGCAGCATTTGGCATAACGCACTGATCTCTAAGAGCCTTGATTATCTATGCTTTGTATTTATAATTATCAATAATGAAATGCAGATACTTTTGAACGAGGTCAAGAAAAGTTAAAGATGGCCGAAAATATATCTGACGTTAATACAGATAATGAAGAGAAAATGAAACAAACGCGGCATGACAGAGCTGTTGTAAAAAATTTTACATCTGACGACTCATCTTCATCCAGTACAAATATGGATTCCGTCCTGTTGCAGTTACCAGATCCGAATGAATTTTGTGGATCACATTATTCTTCGAATAAGATTTTAGCGACTTACGAAAACGCAATTATTTCACCCGAAGATGAAAATATTATGATTCTAAATATGGAGAGAAAAAAACCGAAAATAGTTAAACAAGAAAAGGTAAAGGTT